ACGTTTCTCATAGCGTTACGCGTGAAACGCACCCTTAAACACGCAAATACAACTCGGAAACAGAGCGTTTAAAAGCTCCCAGAGGGAGATGTCTAATGTCATGGGGCAGACGGTTGTACAACTGGGCTATGCTGTAGAGCAGGCGCCGCCTCCCTGCTTCGGTTCTCACGCGTGGGAGAGACAGATCAGTTTCCCGCCGGGTTGAGCGTGAGCGAAGGGAAGAGTTGGCCAGGATTTGGGAGGACATAGTATCCGGCTCTTCGGCGCAGCGTATTTTGTGGAGGAAGTTAAGAGAGTGGATTTCGTACAACTGACGGGCGGTAGGCCAGCCCAGTTCCTCTCGCACGTCCGATATGTGGTCAAATTTTCTTCGGCCGGACACAACGCGCAGCGCAAAATTGAGAACTTTTTGGAGGCGTTGTGTGTTTTTGTCCGACCCGTTTCCATAGACCGAGAGACAATATCGGACGTGCGAGAGGACCAAGGCGCTGACCACGGTTGGCAGAAGTTCACAAGGGATGTGGTGACGCACGTGGGACAGCCCAATGAGGATACCGTTGCATTTTTGGACGAGGGCCGATACGTGAGCGTCCCAGGTGAGGTGCTTGTCGAAAACCATGGGCAAAGCCGGTACTGATCAGAGGATCAGTGAAATAAGAGCTCAGCCACTACTGATCGACTTAGGAGAGACGAGTATGGCGCACTTTGGCAATTGATAAAAAGTCCAGCTAACATTTTTGCCTGGTCTTGTGCAGAAATCGACCGGAATCTTCCGTCCTGAATATTGGCTTCCCTTTATCATACCCATAGCAAACTCGGCTATTGGGAAAATCTTCCAAACTCTCTACAATAACTCATTTTTCAGTTCGATTCATGTTTACAAAATAATAAACAATTAAATTTACATAGCAATTCGTTCGTCTCACTTCTCCTTGTTTCCGAAATCGTTGCGAGCGACCCAGAGTTTCGAACGCGAGATCTTTCGCTCACGAAGCGAAAACCTTACCGCTGCGCTACTGCGCGGCGCACACTCTTCGTCTTAAATTTAAATGTGATAATAGTTGACAGACAAATGATGCAACATCGAGAAAGTTTGCATTTGTGCTGCAAGGAATTACACGGGTAATGAAAAATGCTGGAAATATTGCAACATTGATCTGCCATTTAACACCAACAAATAGATTTAGAATATTGGCACAATAAATCGTAGCAAGATAAATTACGGGTAGATGTTGTGTTGAGCAACGGAATGCCCGACACCGTGCCGGAGGAATGCACAAACAAATATCTGCCAATGGTTTCCATCTTTATAATATAGCCTAAATTTTGAAACATATCATTCTAATAACAATATAATTTGAATAAAATATTTTTGATGATTGTGATATATGCAGCTAGGCCCATTAAGGCAATGAACATGAAAAATAAAAAGTCTCAACATTAATTCCTATCGTTCATGTTTTGGTCGTAGAAGTAAAAGAAACTTAACCAAAAGACAGCTCAAGGCAGTAATCATATTCCAGACCGGTTTCGGCACGTTTAAGTACGTTTAAGAATCTTCAACTTCCTCAACGTTTCAAGTTCCAAGACGTCAAGCAAAAACTACGAACGATTGCCTACAAGTTCTACCATGGTTTTAAGGCATCCAAGGTATTTTCACCTGTTTTGTCAAAAAACGATGTTAAGCTGCTCATAAGCTTTGCTTCTGATGACTCCATTGTTGTAAGAATGTAGCAATTGTTACAAAATGTAGCGATTGATCCGAATGTTTAAACGCTGTAACGACTTGTGAATTTTAATCCCTATCGTAACGGCTCAGCTTCTTTCGAAGCTGGATTAAAATCCGGATCAGCGGTAAGGGATTACGGGTGTGTCCATGGGCAGCCTAAGCCCTTACGAAACACTGATCCGGATCAGTGATGCCCATGGAAACGGGGTCATACTCAGAAATTTCCGTTAATCTAAGGAAAGAAAAAAAAAATCAGGAAAGTCAACGCTCGCTTCGCTCGCTCCGTAATCAAATATTTCCTAATTAAAACATATCTGGTTGTGAGTGCCCAAATCGGCAATTGCAAGCTAGGGACCCCAATGTGGCTACCTTAACTCAAAACCAATGTTAGGTGGGATGGTCACTTTAATGGAAATGAGAGGAACGCCACCATATCAGTGCTACCAAATATTATTTTTTCACGCTAAGTAAATTTCGTCGGCTCACCTATTTTTTCCTTCATTCCATTTTATCCAACCGTGGAGAGGAAGGCAACTTGGGTCCCCAAAACAAAACTACCCCATTTTTATTTTTGCATATGGGCCACGTTATTTTGAAAATTACCAAAATTATGCATTTTAAAGCTTAAACAACTTGGGATGATGTTTTCAGTTTTTGTCATGGCATGCCATGTGTTATGACATGATGTGTCACATATCGCGATTCCGGCCAAACATGGTCTCGGAAGGTAGGTCACAGGTCAAAGGTCATTTCGGTCAGGGTCATGAAATTTTAAGGGTAGGTGTACAATTGATCAGTGCGAGGATACTGGAAGTTCCGTCGCGATCAGTCGCTTTTTACGCGAGTTATTCGCGAAAAAAAACTCTAGGGGGGTTGCATCAACCCCCGCACTGGCGGATCCAGGGGGGCATTAGGGGCATATGCCCCCCCCCCCCCGACAGGAGCTAGGGGAGGGCATTCAGTACAAGTATGCCCCCCGTTCAGACTTACACTTCTTACGCCTATAACGAGGAACTAAATAAAAATGGATTAGAAAGGGTTCCTAGTAAATACTTTTGTGATCAGAGTCGTTTTAGTAACCTCAATTTAGTTGTCATTGTTTTATTTTGTCTAAAAATATGTTGCTTCTTAGTTCTTACCACATGGGAGTCATGCCGCTTCAACCCTTTTGACCGTATTGTCTAACGATGGCACTCATATTGCGCAAGCCAGGAATCGGCCGCCGCCTATGCTTGGGAATAGGGATAGTTAGAATATGATTTGCCTGTATGGCCGCAGCCAGGCAGCGTAACCGGGGGGGGGGGGGCACAATCCTGTGTGCCGCCTCATTAGATGCAAGGTGCCCCAGGGCATATTTTAACAATTTTTTTTTTCTGCGTCCCAAAGTTGAGCAGAGTGCACGTGCTACGACTAAGGGCATAGGGCAAGGAACAGAGTAGGGCACTGAGGAGGGCAGAAAGTAAGGCACGGCAGGTTGCATGGCATGGCACAGGACATTTTAGATGAAAGGCCGGGTACAGGTTAGGGCAGACAGCAGGGCACAGGTCAGGGAACCGGACAGGGCAGGGACGCAGTGGGTCAAATTAGCAGGGGCTACGTCCCAAGGCGAGGGGGCTGCGTCCCAAAATGGGAAAATATGCCCTGTGGTGCCCTATGGGCCCGAGAGGCCCTGCAGTGCCCATTGGCCGCTCAGGGTCCAAGCGTGCCTTAGTTCGACTGAGATAAGACCCGCAGGACTCGTGAGAGCACCTCATGGAGTCACGGGCTCCTGAGTCGCCACACATCACACATCTCCATAAGGGCCCCACTCCGGCTTCTGAGGGCCCTGTGCTGGCCTCTGAGTGACCTTGCTGACCTATTAAGCGTCAGCTCTAATTAGGGTCCTGGCCCATACCCGCATGGAACGGCTCCACACCAGTGTCACTGAGGGCCCATAACGGCGCCTGTGAGGGCCCAACACCGCCAAGCTGAGGGACTAACACCAATATTTCTTAAGGCCCTACATCGGCGGCGGCTCTGAGGGCCCAACACTGGCGCCTCTGAAGGTCTTACACAGGCGCATCTGACGGCTACCTACCTGCAACTCTGTGGGCCCCACACTGGTGACTCTGAGGGCTCCCAGTGACGCCTGAGAGTACCACGCCGGTCTCCACGATCCCACAGGGCTCCTGAAGGCCTCTGCTGGCCCTTGCTAGTCTCTTGAAGACCCCTTGCCCCCATGCATGTGTCTCTGAGGAGTGAGGACTCCCACAACGATGCCTTTGAAAGTCTTCACCGGCGACTGTGAGGGCACCACACAGACACGTCTGAGGGCCCTACACCGCCACCTCTGAGACACCAGTGTCTCCTGAGGCCCCACATCGGCGACTCTGAGGGTCCCACACCGGCGCCTCTGGGGCCCCACACCAGTGCCTCTGGCAGCCAGCCACCGGTAACTCTGTAGGTCCTACACCGGTGACTCTGAGGGCCTCACCGGCGTCTGAGAGTACCATGCCGATCTCTAAGGACGTCCACAGGGCTCCTGAAGATACTGCCGGCCCTCACTTGCCGGCCTGTGAAGGCCCATTGTTGGCATCATACGGCCCGTTTCCGGCCTCTGAGGGCCCTTTGTCGGTCTCTGAGAGGTCCTGCTGGGTTATTAAGCATTCGCATTTCGCAATAACAACTCCAAGGGCCCCACACACAGCCATCTGTGAATGGTGTGGGCTTAGCGTCACACCAGTGTCTGAGGCACCACAACGGCGTCCATGTGAGGGCCTCACACCAGCACCTTAGAGGGCCCACACCGGTTCCTTTTGTGGTTCCTGCACCAGTGCCTCTGAGGGCCCCACACCACTGCCTCTGGGGAACCCACACTGATACCTTTGATGGTCCCACGCCAGTACCTCTTAAGGTTCCACACCGGCGGCCCTGGGTCGGCTCTATTCACCAGCCATTCTGAGGGCCCCACCGGCCCCACCAATTTTCGTCGATTTCTGGCGCTGCCCGGGTAGTTGTCCCAAAAGCCTCCTCCTCCTCCTGGATCTGCCAATGGGGGTCAGGTGTCCTACCATTTCTGTTTTTTTTTTAAGAAAAAAAAAACTCGTGTCAGGGCTATGACGAAAAATAAGTGGCCTAAATCCGATGAGAAAACAGGATTTGGGGGTACCCTAGGTTTGGCTCCGTGACCTGGTATGCCCCCCCGCGCTGAAACCCTGGATCTGCCAGTGAACCCCCGTGCCGGCGAGGGTTAAGCATGGCAAAATACTGAGGCTATTTGTTGTGCGGTCAGGAGCTGTGTCTGTACCTGGACGAGGAGCGCCAGGGACCGGGCTCGCTGTGCAGTAACTGCGGCGCCGCGCTGAACCAGCCGCGCGACGACGGCGACGGCAGCAGCAGCAGCACGGCGGCCGACGAGCCGGCGGCGCACTCTCCGCCGCCGCCGGCCGCCGACACCGAGCGGCCGCGCCGCTCCGAGAGCCGCGAGCGCCTGCTCGAGGAGAGCATCCAACGACAGAGGAACCTGCTCAATGGTGCGCCGCCAGTCGGCCTCACTGCTCCCTCGGCAGGACCAAGTTTGCCACAGCCACTTGTCTAGCAGTCAAGCGCGATACAATGTTTTTTTCTTTCTTGGCAGTGAAACTTGCATTTCGAGTGTTGTTTTTTGACTTTTTTGTTCTGTTGAGAGCAGCTTCTTTTAGCTTGAAAAGGCAATTGCAGAATGCATAGCTGACCGCGTACCATGAGCTCGTCTGACCCCTGCTCTAACCCGTACACGTGTGACCTCGTCTGACCGGTACCCGGCCCCGACCCGGCGGCAGAGCACATTCTACAGTATATCCGCGGCTTGGAGCGGCGGCTGGACGGTGCCGAGGAGGCTGGCGGCGGCCGCGTCAGCCGGCCGGACGCCGTCGTACAGGCAATGCGCCTGCTGGAGGTGCAGGAGCACCTGGAGTGGGAGTCGGCCGCGCTCGGGCGACCCGCACCGCCAGAGGCGGGCCAGGCGGCGCCGCCGCTGGAGGGCGCCGAGGCGGCGCTCCTCCGGCAGATGTGTAACGTGAGTGGGCACCGGGAAGTGGCAGCTGCTCTCTGTACCTACCAACTCTCCACACCAACCTGCAGCAACGTATTCGCAGCATCTGACACATGTTTCATGGCTACTTTTGGGCTAAAAACACGATAATTACATTTATTTTATTATACGAGTACGTGCTTTTTTTTATTCAGGACTCCCTCCAACGGGCTCATATTCCCATTTACAGGAGGGCTTCTCCTCCTCCCGGCCATCTTTCCCCAATCCCCAGGCTACGGCTGAAGTGGGAGCCTACCCCACACCTGGTGACACAGCCGGGGACGCCCGCGGAACGGGCGTCGAAGAAGATCGATTTAAGAAATACATGTATCATGGTCGTTAGCAGTGGCGTAGCCAGAAATTAGCAAAAGTGGGGCCATGATCATCGAAAGGGCGACTTTTTCTCTTGAGAGGGGCGTCATTATCAGCAAGTCACAGGGAGGTCAGTCTAAACTGTGACGTCCCGTTCATTGTTCGTGCACGATTTACTAGGTGTTCCAAAAAACCTTTCGCTTATTTTTCATAAAGTACAATCAATGCAATTTACACCCCACATTTCTTGAAATGTTTTTATCCAAAAACCTTGATCTTGATGGATATTGACAACCTCTGCTGATGCTGCTGTGCATGATCGAATTGGAATAAGCTCAGTAAAAACCTGCTCACCTCACCGAACATTCGCCTTGCATAATTCCCAGACAGGAGTTAGATTCTGTCTTCTGCTATCTAGGCCCCCAAAAGAGCTAGAAACACGAAAGGGTGGGTACTGGGTTAGGTAAACCCGCGTACCATTTATGGTGTAAATTGTGTTACCCTAGAACGATGCCTTCAAGGTCAATTGATATCGATGTGAAATTTTCTAAGTTAACCCGCGCCCCGTAGGGCTATCGGCGTACCCTACCACCCGTAAGGGGGGGGGGGCGTTTCGGCCCCCCCCCCTCCTAAGATCTCGGAAATTTACCGGCCGATTTTCAAAATTCAAACGGCGTTCGATAGCCCCACCGGGGAACTACCTTGTGACCAAATTTCATTGACCTAGGTCAAACCGATGACGTCACAGGTCAGGTCAAAGGTCGGATTTTCACCGTTCACAGGCATTTCAAGAAATGTGTTGTGAAATCGAGTAAATTGGTAAGTTATTGAAAACCATCAATGGTACATTGTTCGTCAAACAGATACTTTGCTATCTGAGGTCACTGATACCAGGTCAGGTCACAGCGAGGTCAGGTCACCGGGGGTCACAATATGAAAGTGTCGTGTGATACATGTTTTATGGTCCATTTTGCATGAAAAATGCGATTATGTGGGATAGGCAGCCTTTTGGGCCAGCTTAGGTCACGTTTTAGTGAAGGTCAGGTCAAGGTCAGGTCAAATTAGGTCAAGTTGATATTTTTGCATAAAATGGGTATTGATTCGATGCAGCTCGTCATGGGGAGTCTAATGGTGGTCTTTGTTTTACTCTACGAGGTCTAGAATTGCCAAAAATTGGGTTTGAAAATTTGACGTCATCATTTTTGAACAGTTTTTTTTTTCTATAACTTGGCCAAAAATCGAGGTATCGATCTGAAATTTGGTATGTAGATAGAAGATGGTAGGTGCTATCACATATATTCCAGTTTTCGAAACTCAAAAAACTTTTTGGATTTTTTTGGCAAACATCAAAAAATGCTTTTTTGATTTTTGGGGATCAAAACTCAAAAATGTCAAAAATCCGAGATATCAGTTTTGTAGCCCTGTAAATTCTACACTTTTTATGTCTGAACATTTTTCTGTATCTTCAAAGCTGTAGGCCTGACAGGTCTTCTCGCGAAGGTCTTTTTTCGGTCGAAAATGATAGAACATGACGTCAGAATGACGGCATTTGTGGCCAACCTATCATAGCCTCTGGACAATTTTTGGTCACAATGTGTAAAATTGATGCCCGGAGAGGTCCTGAAAGTTTGGTGGCGATATCTGCAGCCGTTTAGGAGATATCGACGGAAAAGGACAGGGGGGCCGTTTCGCCTCCCCCTACGGGGCGCGGGTTAACGTTGGAGACAGCTAACGGTCTTGAGACAGCCTGGCGCCCAAAATGAGACAGCCTCGATCTGCGAAAAGTAAAAGATGCACAATTGAATTACTGATACCTGTCGTTCGCTGTCAGAGTTCAGCTCAGATTCCGCCCTGATCTTGAGGGGCAACATTGTGGTTCTGGAGGGCGGCTCTCAGCTAAATGGTGGCATCCCATCAGGGGGCGGCAGTCATCGGTAATGGTAATGGGGCATTCCTTGTCAACCGGGACAGCCAAAATCGGCCACCTCTGCGATTTCGTTCAAACTTGGTATACCTATTGGCTATTGGGTGACCGTGAAACCTCTGAAGGGTGAACGGATTTTGTCATATGCACTCGGGCTACAGAGATACAAGGCACTAAACTTCTGCTTTTTGAGCAGAATTGGACGTGTATTGCAATCTTGAAAGATCCATAGCTTCCACATTTTTGGAGCTATTGATTCCAACAAACTGAAAGGTGTACATGAGCCATGAGGAGTTATGCTAGTTAAATTTGGTGATTTTTACATTTTTTGATGATTTTGAATTTATTTTATTTTGAATTGATTTCTTAAAATATATTTTTTTTTTTAGAAATGAGTACCCTTCGATTTTGCTCAAATAAATTTAGATATTGTCTTCCACTACACGTAAGGCACACGTGCTGAGAAAATTAGAGTAGGCCAACGATAACTTTGGATGATATAGCAACAAGAAGTGCAACGTACACGTGCTGTGGAAGGGGGCGGATTTCGCCAACCCCACCTGTTTTTCGCCAATAACTCACGCCGTAATTATAACATTAACGTCAGTTGGCGGAGGTCAGCGGTGGGGTGCGGACGTGACGCGGCTCCCCTCGCGCAGCCATACGTGGCCACTAGCGTCTCGCGAGCTCTGGGCAGTGGCGATGTGACTGAACCAAGAGGAGCACCTCACCGGAATTCAGTATAAAGATAAGTGAGTGAACCAGAAAAGCTAATTCGTGAAATGGCGCAACTGAACAGTTCACGCAGCAGTGACTCTGTGTTTTTCCGGTGAGTGAGCAGGGCCTCGTTTCATAAAAGGAATTACTTACGGCGTTCCGTGAATTATGCCAGATTTGGCGTATTTGATGCCAATTCGGTTTCATAAAGCCGGAGACCGGAGTAATTCACGCCATCGAAATTACGGAGCTTCATTTACGGCAAATGCTCGATTCCGGACCAATTGATGCCATTTGGGTTTCATAAAACGACGTAATTAACGCCAAATATTTTATGAAGCTCTTGATATCAGTGGTGTAAACTACGCACAAAAATGTTGCGTGAATTTGAATTAATGTGAAGATTCGAAGCTAATTTTTAATATACTTTATAATGTTGAGCCCGGCGAGGAAGAAAGAACAGCCAATATGAGAAAAAGAAACTGCAAATCTTCTGTACCAGTCGCTTTTTGTGGGCACTATCGGAATTTTGTTTATTCGCCGCGCCGCGCCACTTTCGTAGTTAGGCACTTCTGCTTAGCTGGCTTTCTGCTGTTTTCAATATATTGCTTTAATAAAGGATGTTCATCAATATCAATTTTGTTTTTTTTCATAAATAATTTTTAAGATTTAAATTCAACATAATTGTTTTATAATTTCTCGTAAAAAATAAGTGTTGACATGAAATTGTAACTTGTAGGACGCTTGATAAATTACGGCAACTACGCAGATGTGCTTAGTTACGGAGGTGTAAACAATTCCAGTTGTGGCTTTGTGAAACGGATTTATTTGCGCTCCGTAGTTTGAAAGGGTGTGAATTACGGAAAGGTGTAAGTTACGGCAGAGCTTTATGTAATTGTAAATATTGTTATTTAGCTGGGACGGTTGCATAGTTATAGAAGACATAATTGAACACCAGCTATTACTCTATTTAATGGGAGCTTTCGAAAGCTATGCAGCTTTCTTCGTCAGCCTTGTTACAAAACACTAAAACAGATCCATATAAAATTGAACAGTTACATTAGACACCACAAAAAGCGAAAATGGCGCATCTGGATATTTTTTGAAAAAGTTATCGCTGTTTCTTTTCGATCGTGCTACCATCAAGCACGTCACACAATAACAATACACGCACATGACAAAATACCACACATTTCAGTCTAACACACGGTAGACATTTGCGACTGGAACACCTGGTTTTGTGTTTAGCGCAAGCCCCCTCGCCTTGTCAATGAAAATACCCTCTTTTATCTTCCGTTTTTCCACTCCCTCTCAAATGCCAGGATTTTGACCCCCTCCCACGCGATGGAGTGTCCCGTCTCTATGACGTGTTTTGAAATACCGGAATGATTTTCGTCCATGTTTCTAATAGCCCGTTTGTGTTCTTTTTCCCTAGCTTTAATGCTTTTTAGCTTTCGAAAGCTCCCATTAAGTAAAGTAATAGCTAGTGTTCAATTATGTCTTCTATAACTAGGCAGAGCTTTATGAAACGAGGCCCTGGATGCACCAGGGGCGAGCCGAGATTGTCTGGATCCGAGGATGACCAGTCCAGAACAGGATGACGTTTTCACAGTCGAGGAGGTCAGTGTGGACGATAACGACAAACGAAAGCGTCTGCGCTCTGTCCCCGAGCTGATACAAAACGTTGAAGAACTGACCTCAAAGCGCCCGGCTGCTGCCTTTCGTAGCAGCCCTGCTGGAGGCGCCCCTGACATGGCCGCTGCTCGGGTCGTGCGCTCTGTCTCAGCGGCGCATGCGCGGCGCCCGGCCGCTCGCCCAGTCAGTCGGCCGGTGCACACTGGGCCAGCGGCCCGGAAAAGTGCTAGAAATTATTTTTGTGATTGAATTGTTGATCTCAGTGACAAGCAAACATACTAAAACGAAGTGGAGCTACTTAACACTCGCCGGGCCTATTGTCGGACCCCCCACCCCCTCGGCCGGCCGAGGGGGTAGGGGGTTGGTCGACCCCTTTACGCCGTTTCGCCCCTAATGGAGCTAGAGCCTCGCGGAAAAACACAAGCGTGTGCGCCGTTACAAGACGGAACGATTGATACCCGATTTTAAGGTCCCAGGTCAACCGGTAACCTCTGAGGTTAAGTCAAAAAGCGCAAAGTAGGGTTTGGTTTTTGGTAAATAATTTCGCAAAAATGGCCGCAGAGCAGCGGTTTTGGCACCGTCGTGTTCGCCTGGCTCAGGCGCGTCGAATGGTATGCTTTTTGTTCGGGTGAGGTCAACTTAAGGTGTTGACCTCGAGTCAAGATCAGGTCAGAGCCCATCAGGCCACAACTTAATCGAAGGAGGTCGTATCGCATATCATTCGATTCGGGATGTCCTCCCGAGTCCATTGGTGGCTTTCCCGAGTCGCTGGCTCAATTTGATTACGAGTTATAGACGAGAAACCACTATGACCCTAGTGACGTCATAAATGACGTTACGGAAGGTAAAAAATGCAAAAGTAAAGCATCGGATCTTGCAAGGAGTGCATGAAATCACGATTCCGTGTGCTTGAGATAGTTTGAGATCATTCCATGCGCAAAAACAACAGTTTTCTCTTATTTCCCCA